AGTCTCTTCAAGGATGCTTTTGCTTTTGTAGAGTTGCGCTTGCACCTCACATGTGGCAAAGCACACCTAAAGAAAAAGGATGTGGACAATAACTTAAAACACCTGTCAAAATTACAGAGAGTATATGCTTGAATGAATGTTATCTAGAAAAAAAAAAAAGCAACCTTAAGTAGGCTGCAGAATATGAAAAATGAAACCAGCACCAAATGCCTTTACCACGTTATGCTAGCCCTGGACCAAAACCCTATTCAGAAGCTCCCATTCAAGAGGACTCACAGGCAAATCCCAAAGCTAAGTTCCGTTAAACTCAAAAAGTTTTTGCAGAAGATAATGCAATGAACACACGCCCGGAGCCAGCAACCACTTGCTGTTCACCTGGAAGGCGGGGGTGAAGAAGCTCGCCCGCCCTACTTCGGGAGGAGGAGGAGGGAAGTGGGCTCAGCTCCCTTCCTCGCTCTGGCAGGTGCCCGTCGGTGTCGACTCGGGCCCCCGGGGAAACGCGAGCGGCCTCTCGGGACGGGGAGTGCGGGGCAGCCGCCGCCGAACGCCGCTCCTTACCTTTGCCTGGCGGCGATGCCCTCCCGGTTGCGGGTCGAGCGGGACTGCGGGGGCGGTATCCCGCGGGAAGGCTGCCGGGGAGCTGCTCCGAGCCTCCCGTCCACACGTCCGCGTCCTCCTTCCCTCGCTGCTCTTCTCCCTCCCCGTCGCGCATCTGCCTCCGGCCGCGAGGGCCGCCGGCACCCCCTGCGGGGGGAGCGGAGGGACCGGGGCTGTTCCGTGCGCCGAGGCCGCCGCCGCCGGCGGTCCCTGGCGTCCAGCTGCAGGCGGCGCTGCCGCCGCCGCCTCCCACAAAGGGCAAATTCATCTTCCACGTCCCGAGAGCGGCGGCGGAAGGGCTCCGTGCCGGGTGGGTCCCACGGCTACCGGGCGGCTGCGGGGGGAGGATCTCTCTCGGTTTAAAAAAAAAAAAAAAAAAAAAAAAAAAAAAAAAAAAAAAAGCCTCTCGTGTTCTGGAAAATGTCGAATTATATCATGCCAAGACGACAACTTACACCAAGATCATCTTAAATTATTAGAAAGCGACAGTGTTCTCCTTTTCCTAGTCTTCGGTTCTTCGGTGGGGCTTTTGAAACAGAGGTTTGTTGCTACCTACACGCAACGCGTGTGGAATTCACAGGCGTGTGGAATTCATCAAGCTTTGTAGCCCAGCTTGATGATGTTCTAAGTACAAACTCTCCCTAGTAGAAGGTAGCGATACCCCGGCAATGTTTTCCATTTACAATGGGTTTAAAAATGTGTGATTGTAAATGACAGACTGTTCCAAAACCTATAGACCTGTCAAGCAGAAACTCACAGACTCGAACCTTTAAGGCGTAAATGAATTGACAGTGTTCCTTTTTCTAAAGTGTGAGTTACATAACGTTTGCATAGCTCACAGGCACATACACGCACTATTCATTGCAAAGCTCTCCCAGGGTAGCGGGAGGCCAGGAGTGAACATTCACCACAGGTTAGATTCTGTCCTTGCCGTACTTCGCTACAGAAACAATCCTGCGAACAGTTCTCCGTAGAGACAAGCATGTGAAACCCTGAGGGGAGAGAGCCCTTTTACCATCCCGCTCCTCCGTGTCAGCAGAGGGATGCAGGAGCGTTTTACAGGAGCTACAGTCATCTGGGCAGAGTTCCCAGGCTCTTCCTGGAGATCTAAATACTGGATCTAGCTAGCACTAGATCTAAGCATTTCATAACATGTGTAACAGACATGAGTGCTTTGACTGAACATACAGTTGTAGGTGTTACCAATCAAACAAAGCTGTAACTCTCAAACTATGCATAGTAAGATTTGACTTCATGGTAAGTAGAAGGTTGACAGAAATCCCGAGATGGAGCTCACTCTGACAACAGAACAGTGTTGTCATTCACACACAGATGGAAAATGTAACTTTATATACTGTTTTGATTTGTTATCTATCTCTGATTTGTTTATTGTTTTACAATTTTGTTGAATTTTGCATATACTTATACTGAATCATGGCACATATAGGGATTTCCAAAATGTAGTGAAACTGTTTAGATTGATTCATATCAATTACACATTTCATGTTTGAGAGTATTTGTATTTATAGGGATAACTTTTTAAGCTTCTTAGGGATAAGACAGAGATGACAAGTGTGGATGATGCAACAGCCTGCTAATGCTGAAACACTTAGACGGGATATGAAAAGGGGAATGAATGTAGGATTTCAGAAGTGAGTAGGACCCTCTTAGGAAACATTACACTAATCAGTTGCTCTTATCAGTCAACAGATGTAAAATATCTTGCACAAAGATGCATTGGAACACTTGGAGATACTCAGCTTATGTTATTCATCACACCATAACTTAACTGCATACTACTCAGTTTTCAAGTTTCTCTTGTCTTGTAAATTGTATTAATTAGCTCGTTTACCAGTTCATATTTAGATTCCTGTTTTCAGTAGCAATTAAATAACCCTTAGATTCAAAAGCCACATTCTGCTTCTAGTGTTAATAAAGATGTACATGGCATTTACACAGGACTTTTCTCAGTATTTCATAGACTAGGCAGTTTGACATTTCTAGGAAACATGTTGTCACATGACTGTTACAGAGAAACTGGAGTGTATACGTACATATTTATAAGACTCATACAAGAACACAAAACAACACTACCTACATTCCTTAGAAGTAGCATCCCATCATGTGTTGTTCTGGTATTTTACTCTATGGATGAAATTCCTAATGAGAGGTACTTAGTATCTACTTTCATGAGGGGCACTTTCTCTGCAACCCACAGATGACCTTTTCCGTAGTTTTGCCCACAGCAGATCTGCTGTTTTCTGCATTGATGGCGGGACACTGCAGTAACCAGTCACTGTGGAAACAAATGCAAACCTGGGGTACTTTGTATACTCTGGAAAGCCTACACATCTGTTTCCAAAACCTTCTCATAGACCATAGTAAGCTCTACACCAAGAGCCAATAAACATTGCTTGCTAATACAAGCTGCTCTGAACTAACTGAAAAGAGCTGTTTATATTAGTTAATAGTGGCTGGTAACCGCATTTAAAACTGCACTGCCTGGTGCACTCCAGGATACAATACAAGCTTGTAATGTATCTTCAAACATGCCAGCTGCTTCTTTTTACAGCACCTTCAAACAGTTTTCAACATTTAATTCTATGATGTCTAAGAAACATACCCTTTGATATCTAAAAGTTAGCCCTAAGTTCCTCCAGGATAACTATGTTTTATGGCACTGGTGTTTCCAGATGGAGCTAGCTGCCAAAACTATGAGTGTCCTTAATGTTAGGATTCTGGCAGTCGAAGAGCAGCCTCTCTGTGATGGAATAAGAAGAGCAGGCTGTAGGAAGCAGCTCTTGCACGAACATTTAAGAACCTCTTAGAATGACTTACCGCTTTGCAATTTGTTCTTCTTCCAGGACCAAGGTTTTTAAGTTGCATTTAGAACCCCTCACTATGCTGTCTAAGCACTTTAGATAATGTTAACATTTTATACCAATATAATTGTCTCATCCAGGTCTTTCACCTCCCAGGTGAGATTGTATCATTAAGTTAACTTCATCTGACCGGGAGAAGAAAAGGTAGAAATATAGGTATTGATACAATGAAGCACCCCAAAGCAGTATATTGAGAATGAGCGTTCTTACTCATACTCAGTGAGAAGATAAACCAGTTTGAATTTGTTTCCTTGAATTTAGTGATTTCCCTTTGAAACATATGTGATTTTTTTTTTTTTTCAAACTGGTCCCCTCCTTCTTTCAAATTCTAGCTTTGCTGATTTTTTTTTTGAAAGTCTTTTTAATCCATATTGTCTCAGTCTTGTCTGGGAGATGCAACAACCAATTATCAAACTGTTGACAGCATACTGAAACTACTCCATAAACTTGTAAATCATGAAGATACTATGAAATGCAGAGAAGGTTTCAAAAACCAAACTCAGAAGTTAGTTACCACAGCTGTTGAAGTTCTGCCAGAAGAAACCCGTGACAAAATGAAATTTACTTCTATGGAATATACCAGTTTCTAAAATAATGGATTCAGTCTATGTTTGAGGGTCTGTCTGCTACTAATGTGATATGCCTTCATTGAAAGGATCAACAAAACCATTATCTTCTATTTCTCCTCAAGATGCAGATACAAGTCTAATGTGTAGAATATTAACATAGGTAATACAACTAGGTAAAGCATCTCCATTAGGTAAATACATCCCTCTTTACAAAATGACAGTCTAATTTATCATCACAACCTGAAGCACAGCCTTTGGATGTCTTCTGTCATGATTCTGAACTAATTCAAACGTATTCATCTTATGGGAAATAGTGTGTTGTATTTAAACATCTGTGTTCTGCCATTTGTGTAGCCCATGGCTCAATGATATTTTTGTCTCCTTATTGTGTGTTAACAAGAAGCTTCTTTAATTACGTATTGTTGGCAAACAATTTACATTTTCCCTTTTAAAACGACCACCATCTGTGATTGCACCAGCCTTAAAATAGCTTTAAAATAAGGAATCTGCATCTCTCTTGCCTAAATTGGGTGGTGATTAATATATGCTCCCCAGACATTTCTTTTTTACACAGTATATGAATTGTAGTATTTCCTAATATCTCTGGAACTGGTTGCCCAGAGAAGTCGTGGATCCTGGGAAGTGTTCAAGGCCAGGTTGGATGGGGCTTTGAGCAACTTGGTCTAGTGGAAGGTGGCCCTGCTTACAGGTGGGGGTGTTGGAACTAGATGACCTTTATGGCCCCTTGCGTCCCAAGTCATTCTATGATTCCATGATTCTAAGTATTTTGTAGTATTTGTGTCACACATATTTTCTAGTTTTACTACCAGTTCTACAGGACTACACTCTACACTCTTCTAAGATTAAAAATTCCCAGGAGTGTGACACTCTTTCCACTTCCTCTCTTTTACTACCCCTTTACCTGATCCCTGCCAAAGTAAGAGCCACATACCTAGAGTTCTTCACGCCAGCCAAGAACCTGCTGACAGTACAACACAGCTTTGGGACAAATTATCAGCACTGCCTACTTTGGGCTGCTTTCCTCTGACGTATTGTCCGAGTACTCCTGACTCCTGCTGCAGGCATGTGAGCCCAGCCTGGCCTCCTCTCAGGTTCGAAGATTAAGTCTTAAGTCTTAAACTCAGGGTACAGTAGGAGCGGAACTGGACCTCGGCTCTCTCGGGGCCACCCGCGGCTCCTACATTTTGCAGGAATAAGGAGCAGAGCTCGCCCCTCAGCCCCTGTTCCGGAGGCCGTTTCCCGCCGTTGGCCGCAACCCCTGAGCCCGCCCCGGCCGTTAAATCCCGGCGGGACTGCTCAGCCCTCCCTTCATCCCGCCCGGGCAGGACGGCAGGGATGCGCTCGGGATCCCAAGCTCGGGATCCCCTCACGGTGAGGAACGGGAGCTCTGCACCAGCCCCCGCGGGGCGGAGCCGCGGCGGAGGGAAAAGGGAGCGAGCGGCAAGAATGTCACACTCCTATGAATTGTTAAACCTCGGCGTGCGTAAAGCGCAGTAATGTAGAACGGGTGGTAAAACTAGGAAATATATCTGACGCAAATAGTACGAAACACTTAAAATCACGTAATGGTTTGGGTTGGAAGGGACCTTAAACATCACCTAGTTCCAACGCTCCTGCCGCGGGCAGGGACACCTTCCACTAGATCAGGTTGCCCAGAGCCCTATCCAAACTGGCCTGGAGCACTTGCAGGGATGGGGTATCCACAGTTTCTCCGGGCAACCTGTTCCAGAGGTGTTAGGAAATGCTATCCTCCGTACAGAAAGAAAGTCTGGGGAGTGCATATTAATCACAGCCTAATTTAGGCAAGAGAGGTGCAGATTCCTTACTTCAAAGCCTTTTTTAAAGCCGGTGTAATGACAGACGGTGGTCGTTTTAAAATGCAAAACACAACGTTCCCCTATTCCCCCGCTTCCCTCAGCGGGGGGGGGGGGGGGGGGGCGGGTCGGGCGCCGCACGCGACCTGACGTCAGCGCGGGCGGGCGCGCCGTCACGCGCGCCCTCCCGAGCCCTCCCCGGCCCTGCCCGCGCCGGCCGGGCCGCGCGCGCTGATTGGCCGCCGCCTTCCCGCTTCCTCCGCGCCGCCCGAGAACCCGCCATTTTGAAAACCTTGTTGATTCCGGGAGGGAGGGAGCGAGGGAAGGAGAGGGAGAGAGCGCCCGGCGGCCGCGGGGCTGCGCCGCGGCGGGGGTGCGTGTGTGTGTCGCTGCGCCCGGACCCGCCCCGTCCGCCGGGAGCTGCCGCCTCCTGCTGCCACCGCCGCCGCATCCGCGCCCGAGGAAGGAGCCGGGAGCCGCGGCTCGATCCGAGGTGGGTCCCGCCGCCATGGCCGTAACGGCGCCCGAGAGCGGTCCCGCCTCGCCGCGCCCGGGCCGGGCGGGGTCGGGTTGTGACGAGGGGCGGTGGAACGCGGCCGCCGCGCCGCCGGGCTCCCGTCTCGCCCTGGGGACACGCCGTGTGTGCGGGGCGCTGGTCGCCGCGGCCACCTCCCGGCCCGGCCCCCGCCCGGGGTGTCTCCTGGGCGCTGCGCTGTCCTGCGGCGGGAGCGGGCGGAGCGGTCCCCATCGGGGAGGCGATGGAGCCTTGGCCGCCGGGCGCTGCCCACAGCCTGCGCTTCTCCCTGGCCTCCGGATTGCAGGTCGGGAAAGGGGGTACAGGTGGCGAGTCCCCGTCTGAAAAGTCCCAGGCGAGGGTGAGGGACCCTCTCCCGGCCAAAAGTATTCCCGAGTTGAGTCTTCTTAAAGGTGGATCCCAGAGCCCTTTTTCTCTGAGCGAGCCATCCTTATGAACCCAGGTGATAAAAAGCTGAAAAGTCTCTTAACTTCCCTATTCCCCCGCTGCTCCCGTTGAAAGGGGAGGGGAAAAACGGCTTGTAGTGCTTCCCATGCTTTTACACTCGTGCTTTCAAGTAAAATTCAGACAGTAATGCCGTGAAAATTACTTCTATGTGTCAAATGAAATATTGGTAGTAATACCTTGAATGGGGTTTTTTTCCCCCAGTGATTTAGCAAAGAGCAGGAAACTACTTTCCCCCTTACTATTGGTAATAAATATTAACTTGCACTTTCTGTCACTTGGAGCACTGCTGCTCTCTGCCACCTGCTAGTACTGCATATAAGCAGTTGATTTAAATGTTATTTATTGAACCTGACCTCTTGCAGATAATATTGGCTTTAATATCAGAAGAAGAAAATGCTTAATCGTGTGATACTTTTCCACAAGTGCTTACAGCATTATTTGTGTATTTTGTTCCAGACCTAAACAGTGAAAATTTTTGAAAGCTGGAGTTTTTCTAAAATGAATCATATGATTATCTTCCTTTACTGGATAGACATTTTCTCTTAGCAAGGCAATGGTACATGCAAAATTAAGATATTTTAAAGTTAACATTTAAGTCACTTAAAATGCTAAGAAAAGACTTAAGTATGTTAAGTATGAAGCATTTATTATTTTCTGTTATAGATCTGCAAATTAAAACCAAAAAACATTTTCATGCCCTAAGATGCAGCAGCTGTCTGAATTATGAATGAAGTGTTAATTCTTTTCTGTATTGCTTGCAACTTTCTTTTTTTTATCATTTTTCTGTTCCCATTTTGCATCTAAATATGTAACCTGTTTAAGTTACTAGGAAACTTGCATGCACAGTTAATGAGGAATAAGTGCAGGGTGCACTAAAATAGTGATATCTCAAAACACTGCAGTTTTTAATAGATAACAGTATCAGCTGCTTTGAGTGGGTGTTTCCGAGTGCTTCACAAACAGCTTGTGTGTGAAAAAGAATTATAACCTTTTAGAGTGTTCTTAACTGGACTAGTTGCAGAATAGACGGCAACTTCTCCTGAAAAATTTGTTTCTACTGCACAAGGAGATTATTTTAAAAAGCAAGATTCCTGTATTGTATATTGCTATATTGATGATGGTTTTCCTGACTGCTTTTTGCAGAACCATACACCATGTCTTCTGTTGATTCCTCAAAAGAAGATACAATGTCACCGGAAAAAACGGATGAGAAACGACCTGAAACTGAAAACAAAGCTGAGGAAAGTGATGAAGATGAAGAAGAGGAAGAAGAGGAGGAGGAAGAAGAGAAAGGTGCTTGTTTTTCCATTGAATAAGTTCTCCTTTATTAAATGCCAAGCTGCTGAATACAGTCTCCTGTGATCTTGGCTAATTGTACAATTACTGAGGAGATTCCATGGTACACCTGTCTCATGGGTCGTAATAGCTTCCCAGTAGACTGTAGCAGGAAACACTAGAAACAGTGATGCTGATTTATTTCAAGAAAGATTGAAGGAATTGCCAGCATCCTGGGTTTCTACACTAGGGTTGTTTTGTTGTTCTATAAATTTTTCAATCATTATAGGAGGTAGTATCCTTTATCAAATTATTTTTTTGCCAGTAACACTCTGAAGTGATCCATGTTTGCAAAAGAGAAGCTTGTGAATGTGCAGTACTTTTGGAAACAACACAGATGTCTTTGCTTAACTACAGTTATTAATTTTCTGGGTACCCAAATGTCATTATATTGGAGAGGCAGAAATTTCATTAGGCCAATTTTATCAGTAAAAATTGTGGCAATATGATAAGATGAGCAAAGCAGGTATTGTGTTGTGGTATGTAATTGAAGAGGGTAGTCAAGGAGTACAAAACATGATGAAGGAACTACTGTGCAAAAATGTTAATTTCCATTGTGAAGTCTCCAGGCATCTGTTTTGCAAATGAAAGCATTCATGGAAATAGAGCTGCAGTATGGCACAGTGAAAACCAAGTCACTGATGGGCTTGGATTCTTGAAAGAGAAGAAGTTTGTCTCTAGGAAAGGTAGTGGAAAGATTGGAAAATAATAGAGTAATCAGAATTAGATTTTTAGTAACAATTTTTCTTTTATACACACAAGTATGTTTTGCTTTGTTTTTGGCAGACACATACCAGTTTTGATTGTGTTCATACAGGTTTGAAGCTGCTTTCAGATGTTAAAGCCAGGGCAGCCCATCTGTTTACTGCTAAGGATAGTTTGATTTGAGGTGAAGTATTTTAGGATGAAATGTTTAGGCGAAACTTTAGGTGTTTCTCCTAAGGTGGTATCATTGAAGTAATGATGTGCAATGTATACTAAACATATTCATTAGTAAGCAGTACCAGAATTACTGGGAATAATATTCTTGTAGTATTTGTGACACTCATATTGTGCCCTGAAGTGCTTCACAGCATAGACACGAACAGTCCCTCTGCACTTGTGCTTGCACTTGTGGTTCCTCCATACCAGTAGTGGGAAAAGAATTTGTCTGCAGGCATCCTGGACTCTCCTTTTGCCCATCTGGTGGTAGTATTCTTCTCAGGAGTGCTATGTGTGAAGCTGTGCACTGTCCAAGAAGGAGACTATGCAAACAGTGTCGCTTCTGTACCTCAAAAAGGCCATGAAGGGAGAGAAGGATGGGTTTCTGAAAATGCTGTATCCTCCATTTGGGTGGATGTGAGGGAAAGTCACCCCCACTTCCAATGGGCTGAATTTCCTTTTAGGAAATAGCTAGTCTTGTCTTGCACATACCTTACATTGGATACAGGATTGTGGTTAAGAACTAGAGACTTCTAGTTATGTACATGTGGCTCCATGGAATCACATTGATTTATTAGCCAAGGTCTGAAAGCTTCGTAGTACTTGCTTATATCCTCATCCATTTTTGGTTTGTCATTTCAAAGTTTCAGTGTCGTGTTGCCTGTCTCTACAGTCAAATCTGCTCATGCAATGAAAAACACTGTTTTAAGGAAGCTGTCTTTTGCAGAGAAGAGTCTCATCGTTGAAGGAAAAAGGGAGAAGAAGAAGGTTGACCGGCTGACCATGCAAGTGTCCTCATTGCAGAAGGAACCTTTTACAATTACACCAGGTAAGCTTGACCTCTCACATGAGAATGGTGGGTGTTGGGAATGATAATGAAACCTCTAAAAAGATCAAGTTATTAATCTGTCGTAGATGAGACCTACCTTAAGAGTCATGATCCATTTTAAAATAATGAGGCTACTATAATTATATGAAAAGCCTCTTTTATTTTGTAGCATCAATTTAAACTGTGAAAGTTACATGATATTTAAACTTACTTAGAATAGGTAAGTAACTTCAGTACCTCACCACCACCAACAAAAGCAGGAGCAGCTAGAATAGAAAGAAATGCCAAATCCTTGTACCCTGATCTAGGTACTATCAAGTAAGGAAGGTAAAGAGCCTGTCAGGGTGACTAAGTGGTAGGAAGAGGCCTGCTTAATGTTTGACTTATTATAATATCTCATTCTATTATGAAGTAACATCTTTGCTTCTTTAAAAAACAGATATTTAAAGTTATAAACACATAGGTAGATATGAATGTAATGCATAACATAATTGATTTTAATTGTTTCAGGAAAAGGACAAAAACTGTGTGAAATTGAAAGGATACAGTTCTTTCTGAGCAAAAAGAAGACAGATGAACTAAGGAACCTGCACAAACTCCTCTACAACAGGCCAGGCACTGTAAGAACTTCAATCTTGTGTATCTGTTAATTCTCATGAATAATGAAAATGTTTGTAGTGTAGTTTTTTACATTTACACGTCAGTCATTTATTACAAACTTAAAAAATCAATATTGCAGGACCAAGTAAGCCCATAATTTTTTTAACTCCTATAAACTACTCTTCCTGTAAAGGTCCTATGGCAAGGTGCTATTGTAAGTCTGCTCAAATGCAGATTTTTAAAAAATTTTTTACTTTTTTTAATGGGGATGGTTTATCTTATAGGGTCGAGTCGGAAATAATTTGTGGTTCACATGCTAAAAGCTGCTGACATGCAGATGGCACTCAAAATATTCCACATAGTTATTCTGCTCAATGTAGCTTTTTCTTAGTACTTTCTTAGTACTTCTATTTCATTAGTGAGTTTAGCACATTGCTGCTTATGTAGTCATTTTCTCCTTTTATTAGCACAAAGCAGTAGAATGTAAAATTACATTATATATAAAATCCTAATAGTGATTTTTGTTGCATTTATGTAAGAGAATTAAAACATTACTTAAAAATGGATATGACCCCTTTTGTGTTTAAGGATGAAACTTAAAGAAAATATAATAGCAAATCTTTCTTGGAGCCCTTTATGTATCGCTGGTTGTGCCTTAAATTTCAGAGTAAATATGACTCATTTTCATTGCTAATGGAGGTAAAATGAATACAATGAAATTAAGGCAGATTAAATTTCAATATTTGTATATATTTACTATAATTATTGGAATTTGTTTTTAATATCTTTGTGTATTTTGGAGGCTTGAACAGCTAGCCCAGAACCCAGAAACTGAAAAGTACTAGTACAGATGCATGCTAGCTGTAATATCTCAGATCACTGCTTCAAATGCAGTGCTTGTTGAAATGGCAAAGACTTGTTGCCTCAAGTATTCAGAAGAAGAATATATCAGTATGGTTTCATTCAAAACTATATTTAATCAGAATGTATTTGGGAACTCAGAGTGCTGTGTAATATAGCAAAGGTCAGATCTTGTCTTCTATGTACATTCTTATATGTGCTTTGGATTGTAATTAACGTTTTTAATTCAACATACCAATACTGCAAACATACCGAATCTGCAAGTTTTCTCAAGGTGCTGGGCAAAGCTCTATGGAAAAGGAGCTCAGCTTTGGTAAAATTATAAACTCATGGAGAAACAGCAGGAACAAAATTTGTAGGAGTATTGGAAGTGAGTTCAAATTATTCTTGGCAGTGTTAAAAAGACCTCAGAAAATTGAAAGATTTGGGGTTATTCTTTAGTGTCTTTTAATTGGTAAAAGGAGATGAAGTGAAAACACAGAACTTAAATATGTTTGGAATCTTGATAGGAGCAATTTTCCCATTATAAAGGCTGTTGCAATTAAAGTTCAGTCTGGTTCAGACATCAGGTATAATGATAGAAGTTGTAAATTGGGTGATATGTAAATACAAAAACTGGTCCTACTAAATAAAAGGTTCAAAAATGGTTCTGTGCAAGACTTCAGAAAAGCTAGTAAGCAAATTAGAGAATAAAAACATAAAATTCACTGTTTTATAACAAATTACGTGATAAAAAGCGTGCAACGAGCTTCATATGATTGAAGTTTTCCAAACCTGTAAATAATCGTGCAGTACATTCTAAACAAGCCTGAAATGGCAGGTGACTTTATCTAGTGAGTTATTAAAAGTAATTAAAAGTACGAAGATCACACAAAGTCAGTCATTGTAGTTTGTCTGTCATGAGATAATTAAAGACATAGTCCATGTAAGTTGTAACAATGTAATTTTTTGTCAACAGAAAGCTGAATGCTAGAAGAGATTTTTCATGTATGAAAAGTTTAAGGGATTTCATTTAATTACGTTTGTTAACTTTGTGCAATGGAAAGTAATCTGTGTGTTCTGTTCTAGGTTGCATCCCTAAAGAAGAATGTGGGTCAGTTCAGTGGATTCCCATTTGAAAAAGGAAGTGATCAGTACAAAAAGAAGGAAGAAATGTTAAAAAAGTAAGGATCTCTTTTGATACTTAACATAACTTGACTAATACTATACACTCTTTTTTTTTTTTTTCCAGAATTTTACTTAAGATTAAATTTAAGCTGAGTGGCTCCACGATTTTTTTCTGAGTTCATTTTAATCACACAAACTGGTCTCTTAAGACAGCTTGAAATGTATTAAATAGTGAACATTTAATTCACAATTCCCACATTCCTGGCTTTAGCTATTGCATGCTAACTAGCATTCTTCTGCCAAGTGAGAGGAAAACATTATTTCCGCAGGGCGAGCATAGTCTTGTGAATACATTGTACTCTATTCATGGTACAAACTTGCATCGTTCTATGCATCAAAACCTTCCTCTTTCAGAATCAAAGCCATTTCTGCTTATTATATATTAAACATATTAGAATTGCTGTAGCAACTAGTCTAAGAAACTTTTTTTTTTCTGTTTTACTGTCTCCCTTCGTAATCTGCTTCTCCATTGACAGGAGAAACTACTATAAGCTAGTTTTGACTGGATTGAAAGGATTTAAAAATGCCCTTGTTGTAAAACATGAAAGAACTAATAAAACATCTACAGTGTTACAAATTTACAAATACTTACATTTACAATGTTTACAGATTTACAGGTCTACAATTTGTACATTTGATTCTAAAATGCCTTTTTTTTTTTTAATACCTGTTTGTTGATAGTAGGAAGGCTTCCAGAATTTGGAATTTGCAAATTTTTCTTCCTTATATATGCAGTTTTCCAAGAGTAGGGTTTGTCAAATACATAGGAATCTAAAAGACAAACTCTGTCTCCTGATGGGACTTCTGACTGTTTCCCACTGGCTTAATTGGATGATGGATAATTGGATAATTCCCCTTAACTACGCAAGGTCACAAAATAATTTTGCACTTTTTTCCCCGTATTTTCCATATGAAACAACTGCTAGTTTAGCTTTGTTACCCTTCAGCAAATATTCTGAAACCTGGTTGCATTGTCACTCTTAGATCAAGGTATATCAAGCCCTGTGTGCTTGCATTACTTTGCTAAATGCTGCTGCTGTTCATATCTGCTGGTTAGTTTGTTAACTTGTTCAGACTGTGTGGTTGATTTCTGCCCACACTGTACACTTGCGTGTCATTGTACTTTTAACAGCATTGAACAAGATGAACAAAGGTCAACATTTATTTTACAGAATCTTACCATTCAGGTTATAAATTACAAAGAATGAGTGTTGAGGTTGCTGTGTGGGTTAGAGTTCTTGGATTTTGTAAGTCAAAACTACTTGCTGTGGAAGTTACTGACTCAAAACTTGTGTGCGCTTGTTTATTCCACACTTGAACTGCATCTTAATAGTTCACTGTAATTGCTATTACCTGCAGATCCACCTTCAAAGCATTAAGATTAAGAAAGATTCTTTTGGAGTTAAAGGGGTGGATATCAGTTTCTCTTAATGTTCTGTCTTCATCAGAGATACCTCTGTAAGGGGGTAAGGAACCAGAGAAAATCAAGGGAGACTCCCCGCCCCCTTAAAGTTCCAGTATTGTACACACTGGGTTTATTTTCTAGAATTGATTTTTTTCCCATTATAGTAGATTAGGAGAGATTCTACAGAAGGTGCTTTTTTTTTTTCCACTAAGATTTTATAACGTTGTGTTTTATGTCCTATTTTACAGGCATATGGATTTGAGAATTTTTTTTTATTTGGCCTTATGTAACATGGTGCTGATTCTTTGCTTAACTATAAATAAGACTGGAAGTATAGTTAACTGTGTATATATATTTTCAGGTTGCAGACACAAACCAGACAGCAGCTTCTAGCAGTCAAATGTTGACTGTTTAGGATGTGATACTGAATCATTTTTTCTTTTTTTTTTTTTTTCCCCCAGATTTAGAAATGCAATGTTGAAAAGTATCTGCGAAGTTCTTGACTTAGAAAGATCAGGAGTTAATAGTGAGCTGGTAACCAGAATATTAAACTTCTTAATGCATCCAAAATCTTCAGGCAAGGTGAGATGCAGGCTGTTACACTTGCTTTTATAGCTCTGTTCCGATGGAAGATGTATCTGTCTCTATTACTTGTTATTTGCCAGTTACTAGTGGTGATACAATTACTGCTCTGAGTTACTGAAGTGGGAATGTCTTCTTGAAAGAGAGTAGCTCTGCTACTGCAGGCATCCATAATGGGGTGGGGACTGTATATTTACATGCAGATGTACCCATTATACACAGCACACAGAAGTGTATGAGGTCAACACATGAAGCTAATTAAGATATCCAGCCCTAAATACCCTAAGTAGCTTCTGCTCTGTGGGTGAATGGAGTAGAATAGACATGATATGAAAGGACAGGAAAATAAACTGACAGATGTTACCTGCATATGCTACATTTGGACATCATAAATGGAATTTTTTGCAAGGCTAGGAGAACTTGATTTAGCAAGTATATTGCTAGCGCACTAGATTCAGCTGCCAAGACTACTAAATTCTGTTGTTAATCTTCTTGGACTTTCAGTTTTTAATCTAAAAGTAATACTTAGTTGCTTTTTTGCTTGGAAAATTAAATTTATTCCCAGCAAACACTGGTAAGTGATGTGAATAAGGAGTCTCCATGCTGCTTTAGGGACACAGGTACTGAGTGACAGCAAAATGCAGTTTGTCTTAAGACATGACAGAATTCCTGCCTTGAAGTCTTCTGAGTTGTCAGGTAAAAGGCTCCTTCTAGATTGTTCTTTCTTGCTTCCCTTCCCTAAACCCCAGCCTTTGAAGATCTGTATGCTTAGGGAAGGGGTACACTTAGCTTAGAACTGAAATTTCTTTTTGCACAACTCCATCTCCATAGTGAATGTCTGCTTACTGCAAAATGTTATGGCTTAAGTGTAGTACATAAAATAGTCCTGGGTTTTGTTAAGAGACCTTTATATTTGTTTGCCATTCTTTCATGTGAGTTGAAAGAATTTATATTTTTGAAATCCACTTTTGAATTCCTACTTGGATGACACTCATCTCTTGTCTCTCAGCCATTGCCAAAGTCAAAAAAAACACCAAGCAAAGGTGGCAAAAAAGAGCGCAGTAGCTCTGGATCAACAAGAAAAGCAAAACGCACCAAGTGCCCTGAGATCTTGTCAGATGAATCCAGTAGTGAAGAAGATGAAAAGAAGGAAAAGGATGACTCTTCAGAAGAAAAAGAAAGTGAAGATGAGGTAACGAGGAGTTTTGTTTGGTTTTCAACACAGGGCTCAAAACATTTGTCATTATGTTGTTGTTATCAATTGTCAATTCTTGGAACATGCAGAGTTGGGGAGTAAGTGATATTTAACTGAATGAATGGTTTGAAAGAAAAGAGAACACATCTGCAATTTATAAGAGGTTTTCATAATTTCTTAGTGTGTTGAAGTTAGAGAATCAGTTAGATAAAGGGAAAAGGTTCTGATTCTTGGGGGTGTGTATGCACCTTATAAAACCATTCACTATGTGCTGTTCTGAGGCAGCCAGGATTTCTACAGTAATTGATTGCATTGCTTGTATCATCTTGTGATGACTCTACTGTGATTTCATAAAGATTTCCAATGTCTGTCCCTCTGTCTGTCACATCTGGTCCTGTCTATCTATGGTTTCTGCTGTCTTTCCTTTTCTTGCTACCTAGGAATTCAGATTTGATATTTTGAATTCAGTCGGTGTCCCTGACCTACCTGACTGCATTTGGGTTGGATCATGGTTCCATATTTCTCCTGGATTTTATGTCCTAACCTCTTTTCAGCTTCTGTGTTTTAGATCACAGAAATAAAGTAAGCAACATAGTAAGCAGCCTTAGAAACATCCCTGCAATCTCTGAAGTGTTCTCATCTCACTGTATTTTCTGTTTTCTTTGAAGCTTTTTGTATACTAGGAGAGAAGCATCAAATCATGGAACAGTTTGGGTTGGAAGGGACCTTTAAAGGTCATCTAGTCCAGTCCTTCTGCAATGAGCAGGGGCATCATCAACTGAATCAGGTTGCTCAGAGCCCCGTGGAACCTGGCCTGGAATATATCCAGGCATGGGGCATCCACCACCTCTCTGGGCAACTTGTTCCAGTGTTTCATCATACTCATCATAAAAAAATTTTTCCTTATATCTAATCCAAATTGTTCCTCCTTCTGTTTAAAACTGTTACCCCTTGTCCTGCTGCAAAAGGCCTTTCTAAAGAAAGTCTGTCCCTGTCTTTCTTACAGATCTGCTTTAGGTACCTGAAGGCTGCTGTAAGGTCTCCCTGGAGCCTTCTCTCTTCCAGTCTGAACAACCCCAATTCTCTCAACCTCTCCTTGTAGGAGAGGTGTTCTGTTCCTAATCAGAAATTAGATGAACCCCATGCATTCCCTTTCAGCTCAGTAGTTATTCACAGCACAGACACAGTGGTGTGACCAGTACAAGTCTGCAGCTGAGTTACTGTCCAAATGCCTGAAGCCTGGGAAAAAAAAACATTAGAAGAAGTTACAGGCTCCATTTTAACCTGCATTTTGACTTAGATTAAACTGTCTTTCCAGCCTTCATCAGACCCCTGCAACAAGCAGCAATTAGTCAACTGTTAGTGTCCAAGAAAAATTTTATGTAAGCTATGGAACCTTTGGCTGTAATGTAAGACCACTATTTACTTGGGTTACATTCTGTCTGTTCCAATGAAGTGTGATGGGCTGTTAAGTAAATAGTCTGAGCTATAGAAAATAATAACAAAAATCTTTTGTTGGAAGGCCCTTTATGTAACTTTAACAGTTTGTTTTGCCAGGGGTATTTTAATATGTGTTCGTTTTAATGTAAAAAGATAGTTCAAGGAAATGCCCTGTGTCTCCATGAAACAAATTTAATTCTTAGTGTGCCCTTTTCTTTACCCATAAATGGAAAATGGAAAGAGGGTTGAAATACTAAAAGTTGACATATTTCTTCATCTCTTCCAGAAGACAGTGTTTCTGCTGTGAGGAGAGGAATGTCTGTTTCAGAGGCAGGAGTTGTCTTTTAGAAAATTCTTTAAGAATTCAGTTAGTTAAAGAAAAGAAAAATCCCAAACAAAACTCTGACAAACAAAAAGGCCTAACAGTAAACCCCATTGATATAAGTGATGACCCACTTTGCTTTCTTTCTGAAGGTAGGGGTTAGATATGTCTGCGAGGCAATAGCTGAATGGACTGAAGTCTTTAGAAGCTGAAGTCAACATGCATCGAGTAAAAGCTTAATTATGACAAAAACACTGGTCTGTCAAATTAGTTTAGATATAGGACACAGTGAAATGGAAAATGTCTGTGTACAGCTTTAAGATTGCAGCATTTTTTAGGGTTATGACAGCTTTTAATATACTACAGGTGGAAGAGTGTAGGCAGTATATTTGCTTTTCTGCATCAGCTCTGTAGTAATCTTAGGCATGGAGTGGCTGGAGTAAACTGCCCTCAGAGTGGACAATTTTCCTTTGTGGAAAAGAGGTATGGATAAAAACCATCACTTGAATTTTCTCGTTTTTTTTTCTTCACAGCCCCCTAGAAAAGCATCTAAAAGAGAAAAATCTAAAAAGGTGACTTCCAAAACCAAGAAAGCTGTGAAGAGTGCGAATGTCAAGAAGGCAGACAGCAGCACTACTAAGAAAAATCAGAACAGTTCTAGAAAAGGTAAATGCTCTTTCATCATACCTTGTCTTGTATTTTAACTGTCGTGCTTATTAGAAAGCAAGCTTTTGCACCTAATTGTGAACAGAAAATGGATTTTGGTGAATTGTTGGCTTGCTACTTGATGTTTCTTTCCTTGAAACGTTAATTAAAAAAAAGTTCTTGGTTTGGGTATACTTCATGTAATTTCTGCTGTGTACATACGTATATAGTTTTTATTTGCATATAAACTGAAAGTATCAGCCTAGATCTCCATTCTGCTGGGTGACAAAATTCTGTTGGGGCCTCTGTGGTGGCTTCATGCAAATCTTGTAATTGATCTAGTAGTGTATATCCCACTGTGTGTGTCTTTGGTTCAGCAGCTTGATGTGGTTTCTCCATGCATCCCCTTGCTATTGATTTTTCTCATATCTCACAATATGCATTGAAGTTACACAAACATTGAGTTTCTTAACAGCTCTATAAAGATTGTAGCAGTGTGGGTGGGGACAGTGGTGTCCTCCTAAGCAGTTTTGCAGAAAAGGACCTGGGC